CCTTAAGGGATGAATTTTTCAACCAACCAAGTATCAAGTAATATAATAATTGGTCATAAATATTTTTTTGGGTTGTATTATAACGTATTTTCTGTGTCTCCCGCGGTAAAAAATAGCCTATGTGACTATCCAGCCTTCCAACTCTCTCCACACAAAAAATCACGCCAGTCCGACGATCTGTTTCCATGTGAAAGAAGGACAAACTAACAAACAAACACACTTTCACATTTATAATATTAATATGGATAACATAAAGTCCAAGAGTTTTTATTTGTAGTTTGAACGCGGGCGAATCCGTGGGTTCTGCTAATAATGATTTTATTAAGATACGAAGTCAACTGTTCTAATTTCCTATTCATCAAAAATCTTTTCCTTAATCATGGAATTATTTTCAATTGATCTAAAATATTGTCTTAATATTATTATCACCATTAATGATTGCGTTTTACTTCATTGAAAAATATAATTGTAAGTATCCATACCAAAAAAGACAACTAAAATAAATTATTATTACAAATTAATTATTAATTATTTCAGTTTTCTCAGAGTGTATATTAATTATAGAAGTTACGCGTCTGTAATGCGTGGCATAAACGAATTCTAGTTCTGGGAAAAGTTTTGGTTGTTAAAAGTTTATTGTGTAATATTAGTTAGCACAAAAAAGTACTTTTTCGTTATGATATCAATAAGCTATTGTAAAATAATAGTTAATTTAAGAAGAAGTATCGACGTTGAAATCAGTACTTTATGTACTAAATTATGAAATGTAATTTTGTAGGAATATGTGAACTTTAGGGCAAGGTTTTCAGCATTCCACATTGAGTACAAACATGCCCCACATATGTTGATAGAAGATCGATCCTATTTAGATAGCTTAAGCAAATATTTATTGGATCGTTTCTAATCCAGAATCCTAATTCTAGTAGGCTTAGTAGGTTTGTTTAGGCTACTCGCACTCTTGGTATTGCCGTACTTGTAGTTTTTTATACTACGTTATTAGTTTTTTTATAGCATAATAGCTATACGTTATATGTTCATAGATTGGAAACATATAAAAGTTAAGTAGGTCACGAAGTCACCAATTCCCAACGCGGAACGGACGGCGGAGTTCTTTCTGTTTACACAGAGGAAATGAGCAGAGGAATTAAAAAATCACAAAGTCAATGTAGATAAACATACGTTTGCTAGGTATCTCAGTATGAATGTTAATTATAAATAAAGGCGTAAAAAGTTAAAATAAATCCATGTACATAAATAACATCGTGCAGAAACATAAAAAGTAATAAATCATATTAAATTGGTTGATGAATAATCATATTTACATTGTTATTTTAATTTTACTTTCATAAAGAAGGAGGTTCTATGTTCGTCCTCATACATATGTTTTTTCATTATTACATTAAAGATTGATAGGAATCAATTGTGGCACCGCTCTCAAAGATGTTATACTAGTACATCCATATTCATATTTCAATACTAATATTATAAATGTGAAAGTGTGTTTGTTTGTTTGTCCTTCTTTCACGTATAAACAGAGTGAAGAATTGGCGTGATTTTTTGTGTGGATATAGTTTGAGAACTGGAGAGTGACATAGACTACTTTTTACCTCGAGAGTTCATCTTATTTCCACATGAAAACACGTTATAAACTCAAAACAATATTTTTGATTAGAATTATTTGAAACTTAGTATCAATGCTTTTCAATACAATTAAATAAATAGGTGTTTCAGCATTTTTTGAAATACATCCCATAAGGGGTTCAGATAGGGGATGAAAGTTTGTATGAAACCTACCTTTTTATATATTTTTTGTAGTTTTAGTGTGAGAAAAGCCTCGGGTTCTGCTAGTAATATATAAAAGCTTAACAAAGAGTGTCACAGAGTTTTCAATATACCTCATTTTTTCATTTTTGAAATGTACAAATTTATTTCGTATCCCTTCAATTTATTCAAATTAATTGCTTCACTTTATTTGGAGAGTTCATAAAGATAACAAATTAATAAGAAATATATGGAGCCTGCAACTGTGTTTACTATCTTTTCGGATTTTTTCGCATTTTTTTTTATTTTTGGTAGTTAACCAATCGTTTCGAATGCTTTACAGCAATCATGGTCACGAAAAGATAGTTTTATTTAAAATGTCAAATATACTAGTAAATCTAAGAAATGTCTACTATCTTAAGAAGAAAATAGTGCAGTTAAACTTAATTTATCTACTACTAATTCACTTAAAGTTAAACCTGAAGGAAATAAAAGCTTAAATGTCAGTTAAGAGAAAAATAAATGTCGAGATAAATGAATGAGAAATCTTGAAGACGTACTCCGTTCACGCCTATATACATATTTTACAGCTGTCTTCATTTATTTTAATAAGAATAGAACGTTTCATTTTATCTGTTTACTGTGTGATATTGTGTTTTAAAATAGAACTCTAATTCATTTAGAGCAATATCTTTAGAGCAATGAAAAAGTCATATCAATCATAAATATTTTCTGTGATTTTAATTACGATAAAATATATTATCTAATTCAAACCTACTTTAAGCAAGAATGTAAGTAGAATGCAAAAAAGTTCCAAACAAGTTGGGAGGCATTTCTAAGAAAATGTTGCAAATGGTCACCAAATTTGAAGCGCTAAGAATTGACTTTATTTTTGATGGTGTGTAATAAATGCTATGCTAGCAGTCTTATAAATCATCTAATTATTACCCAAGTATTATATATAAAAATCAGCTTTAATACTGTAACGTAAGTAGAATTATGATTTCATGAAAAGGGTGTCTGGCAAGGGTTTGCCACGATGTTAAGTGTCTGGCATTGAGTGACGTGATTTTTAATAATATTCTGAAGGTAATACCAAAAAATCACACTTTATTATTTGACGAATTTAGATCGGTATTTTACACACCTTTAGTACCGTGTACCTGCCAAAGCCACCATAGCCTGAACTTCATAATGTTCCATCGTTCTTATCTGTGTTGGGAGCATGCGCTGACAAACTTTCAGCCTTTATAAAATGACGAAGGTCTGGCGTTCACGGGCTCTTTCTCTATCAGGGTTTGTTTTGATCATATTGAATTACATTAACAACCTGTGCAATTAATAACGCAATGAAGTTGAAGCTGTAATCGTTCTTATGAAAAATTTTATAGTTAAAATGATTAATCATTGTTTATATACTTTTAATATTTGAGTAATAAATTTAAGTTTTCGCAACACCTCTAAATATTTATTTCTTTGTTTTATTATGGTTTCATAGCCTAAACTAAAAACAGAACCCTTATAATTCCATCATGTTCATCTGTACAGATATCACAGCCATTCAAAGAATGTTGGGACTAAAAAGGTTTAAATGTAGATGTAGACTAAATACTTTCTCGTACACGTGGAAAAGAGGTGGAAATATTTTTATAGAAAATAATATTGTTGTAGACAATTTAAACTAAAATTTGCTTTTATATAGCTTGTTTTCTTTGGATGTGCCAAATTGAGAAAGATGAGTTACTGTTCTTACATATTATGTATCACCAGAAAGATTAACTTTTCTCTCTTACAATTAAAAGTTAAACTCAATAGTTAAACTCAATTAAGTCGTTCTCCTTCTATCCTCTATCTGTCTATTTCAATAAAGCAATATTCGAAGTAACTGGAAATCACCATTGCACTATATAAGTATTCATATTATAATATTAAATAGCTAAATATATAAAAATTGCAGCTTTAAAAACGTCTCTAACAAGACTTACTATTGTAAATCCACAGTGTAAAAGTTGTACGATATGTGAAGTTCGTCGTCACATTCATTAATAATAAATTCTTATGTAGAAGTTTTGTACCTACTTTTAGCATTTTGACTTAGAAAGTGTATTGTGTATTCCATAATGATGTTATTAACCAATAAATATAGTGGTAATTCTTGTCTCAAGAAATTTATATTTTGTATATTACATAAAATAAACATTTAGCCTTAGTGAGCCATAAACGAATCTGTTGGACTAAATTTTTACAGCCTATTCATATAATAACACCTATAGTAACATAGAAGCACGCAATAGCAGCTATTTAGAGCTTTTTAAATTTAATCCCTTTAAAGGACGAAAAACGAGTAAAGGATGAAAGCCGAAATTATATATATTTTATTTAAAAAAAAAGCCGAAGTTGGGTCCTATCACTATTTGTAAATTATTAGCTGTGCCTGCAAGTTTAAGTAGAACACGAATGGCAAATTATAAAGATGGAGACAATTTAAAAGCATTTTAATACATATTATGTATATCTACGTGTTAAAAAGCAGTTTTGATAAAACTTTTACCTTCCTACTTCGCACTCTGGGTTTTATAAAGAGCAATTTAAGCTATATTATAATTCTATCGCAATAATCTATGTATATATATAAAAAAATCAATCATATCATTTGTAGTTGTCAGGAAAAGGTGTGTAGGTAAGAAAATGTTTGAAAAATTGTACGTGAGAGTGAAAAATTTAGATTAAAAAACCTCCAACTATGATTTTCCAACTCCAATTTGGTTATATGACAGAAGACAGGGTTAACTTCAAAAATATTGACAGAATTGACAGATTGACATTCAGTTGTTCAGCTTATTTTATTATTTTATCTGATACATTCGAAATCAACAATTTGTTGTTTTGGTTATTTTGTGAAAAAGGTAGTATTTTAAAAAAAATTACCAGCGGCATCTATTAAATGCAGTCCAAGTATTAAATGATAATCTGTTATATCATGAGAACAATATTTAAAAAAGAAATTGACAGTCTTGGTCAAAATATAAGATTTTTATTGATAATATTGTTTTATGTGAATATGAAAGTAAAGTGAAAGAAGAAAAGCTTAATTGCTTTAAAAATTTGAATGGTACACGTAAAAGGATAGAAAAGAAGGAAGTATGTTTATTTTTAGTAATATCTTATTTAGATATGGAAAAAATATGAAAATTTTGTAGTTTACGGTCCCCATAACTTTTGAATCCTTCGTTTCATCAAAATATTTTTTTTATATATTTAAACTCCCTATCACATCCCATATCCCAAGTTTCCCTCACACAAACTCCTTCTAAAGATTGGCACACCTGTAAATTGTAATGAATAAGCCACATAAGCTATGTAACGGAACCATGCTCGAGAGGAATCGGTATTCATACCTCAAGTACCACTCTCTACTCTCTGAATACCCCTTTGAATTTAATCGATTGCAATTCCCCCTTAGAATTCGCTGTGCAATGACTATTGATAAATTTCAGGGTCAGTCATTAAAAGTAGCAGGCTTAAGAGAGGATTGCTTTTCACATGGACATTCTAGCACCAGACTAGAAAAATGAACTAATTTTTAAAAATAATTTTGTATATATTGCGAAAACGTTTTTAGAATTTTTGTCTGTCTGTCTGTTTGTGTATCTGGGAACGCATCACGAATAAACCACTGGACGGATTTTGATGAAATTTGGTATGGATATCCAGGACAATAATAACATATAAGATACTTTTTACAACGGGAAAATATCTCATGTCTGAGAACAAGTACAAAAACTGATTAGAATAAAATCATGCTGTAACTATAAACATTTTAACAAGGTAACTTACAAAATAGGTCATAAAATAATTATAAAGCTTTCTTGAAAAAACATATATCAATAGAAAACTATCTAAAATAACTCGCTATATAGTATTTAATTAGGTGTAATTTAGAAATTTCACTAGATGTCGCCATGTGTTTTTAAAATACGTAATTTTAATTTTAGAAAAAAATTATGTAAAGATATGATTTTTCTATAACTTTATTAGAATTACTAGTATTCTCCGCTGTCCCGCCGGAGTCCAAAAAATCATTAAACCTTAAACCTTTTATTATCTTAGCTTGTTAGCTTGTTTTAATCTTCAGTATCTTGTCTAGAAAATGCCACGAACAAGAACACTATAAGGTACTTCCTTATAAATTTTAATCAGGCTTGTAAACTTTCCTGCATATTCACTTAATATTATTTTCATATAGATTAATCTAAATACTGAATCTACAAGCTTCTCTAAACATAGTCATATCATGTTAGAAGCATCTCAGAGCCATTTCGTATTTAGCAGAGTATGTACAACGTAAAAGCCTTAAAGCTAGATCTTACTTACTTGGTCTAGCAAATTATTAGGTGGGCGGGGTATGCGAGGGGAGTCGTCGTATCCGATGTCGTGAGGCATGAGGTAGCGAGGCAAGGCATACGCGGAGAGGAACTCGGACTGAGGCGGCATGGGAACGCGCTGGCGTTGCGGCCCCAGAGGTGCCACCTGAGGCGTGTCCGTAGGTACTGTAAACACAACCATAGCGTAAACATAAACAATGCAACAAGTTACTTGGCTTGTTAACGTCAATCAATATTAAAGCAACCATGGTCGCCAGCAGAATTATTATCAGGGCGTGCAGATTTTTTAAAATAACAATAGATATAATTCATATAAGACCGGATGGATAACATAGAAAAGATCGAATTGACTTAAATTAAAAATCTTTATAGCCTGGTAGATAAGAATTGTTGTGTTAGGTTCACCGACTCTTCTCTCCAAGCCATGTACCCCATATATTTCCATTTACATGTAGTGATTCGTTTAATAGAACCTTCGTGCGTCGCCATACCCCGGTTCTCAGAATGCGATTCAAGAGAGGATGAATAATTAAAAAAATAAATAGCATTTCTTTTAAACGTTTTGTTTTTTTTATACCTATTAGTGATAGGGTGTTCCGAGATAATATTGATTCTTTTGGGAATGTAGTATTAAGAAGTGTTTATAAAGGTAGAAGGTATCACATGTATATTTTACTCTTCTAGCTCTTTGAAGTTCATCCCCTAGCGACCCCCTCCCCGCGCCTATGTTTAGAGCTGATGTATAATGTATAAACGTGTATAAACTGCATAACAAGTGAAAATTTAAAATATTATATTCTTTGTATAAAATTTACTTTTTAGATTAGGCATATTTAAATTTTAAATATTTTGATGATGTTAAATATATTTTTATGCAAATTTTTAAGCGATTGGTTAGTCGCTTGCCTGGCCTTGAGAGTGGCCTTATCAAAATAAAATAATCAAGTGAAAAAGTAATTCTAGTAACTTTTTTACGGTAATATACTTAAATAGTAATGCCTTCAGAAAAAAAACAAGTGTAATCGTTTGTAGATTAATCCAAGTCAAAAATTCAAATTTAAATTCTCTTTAAATTCAAATATAAAATATGTTTCCGGTGCCCAGATCTAAGCATTTTTACCACTTTGCGCTTCCATAAAATTTCAGGATAAACCATTTACAGCCGACAAATTAGTTCTTCCGGGCCCTAGGATAAAACTGATTTATTTTACCAGTGAAACGGCTAAAAAGTAAGCTGTCAGCATTTTCTAGTTTCATAGCCTCTGAGTTATTGATACAATTTGTAATGAATTAAAATTTATCCTGAGATAAAATTTTATTTTCTATAAGCAATATTAAATCACTATAACTTTAATTTTCTTGAATTAGATTTATTCTATACATATATAATTAAGTCCCTAATATTCGAGATTAGTTAAACAGGTTCCAATGAAGCTTTTTGCGCATGTAAGTACCTATTTGTAATAGAATGAAAAATGCTGCTAGGTTTTATTCGAGTCGAGTTTACAATCTGACTTATCAAACTTACAGCTTATTCGGGTCGAAATCACATTCGAAGAAATTTAATATATAGGTCGAACTCGCTATTCTAAGCATGGGGCGGGGGAAAGTGGTCGGGTCAGATTAATGTTTATTGATTGTGGTCCATATTATGTCAATACACGTGGGCGAAGTCGCAAGCAGAAGCTTGTTAATAATATTAAACAATCTTATAATTTTACGTGGAAATTGAAATACATAGGTACAAATACGAAAATACCACTGCAATTCAGTTTTGGTTTAGGTATTGGAAAACACGCATCACTAGTGTTTTTATTATATGATCATAAGGAACTATCAGACTGCGATCCCGAATCTCAAGAAACTATTTTATTTTAACATGTTTCATTCAACATTTTAAAAGTCACAACAAGTGGGCGCAAGCTGAAATAAAGATACATTCGATATATTGTTTCTAGTTACTGTCATTTTCAATATCTTATTTCAAGTTCAGAAATTTTGAAATAATTTTCTAACCGACAGTGATGACTTGATACCAAGTCTTTCTATAATATATTACATTAAGAAATGAAGTACATATTTTAAAAGGCTTTATCACGTAAGTTAGTTAACTTTGCAAGTTTTTTTTACTAGGTTTGTCCTTTGCATAACACATATGAAACACGAAAACAGTGTAGATTTTAAAATACAATAAAAATGTCAACATCAAAACTCAATACAGGTTTGTTTAAAGAGCGTTAAAAAAACCACAGAACAAAGTACTAGCCAAGAAATAAATTTAAACCATAAAAGCAGGTATCGAATTATATCTAAGAAACTGTAGTTCGATTCCACAAAAAAATATTAGGTGATAGGTGTACCTATGTTATTACACTGTGTAATGTTCACATATAAAATGTAGGGTAATTGAAATTTTTCATCGAAATTGATATAACAAAGCTTTGGCTTGATAAGTTTGATGTATCTATAATAAATATTAATATTACATTTGTTACATATTTTACTACGATTACATTGGACTTCATTATGATGACAATGAATATTAAAATGCCACTGAAAATGTTTAGGTATAATTTTATAAAAGGGTCTGTATTTTCTTACAATGTTAGTTTACACGTTTTCTAGTTTACTTTAAAAAAATATTTACATGTCATGAAAGCTGTTACTTATAACTTTACCGAAAACAATATAGATATAAGCCGATATTTTGATTGATATTTGATTTGATTTAAAAAGTTTGAATTTCATTCACTAATTATGGGTTCGTATAAATAGGTAACGATATCTAAAACGCCAGTTAAGTGCTAACCTAATAACTAATAAGGTATTATTAGAACTGTTCAACACAGATTTTCCAATGTTTGTTATTGTAGCATAAATTCGTAGATTTTCTTTTAGTGGCAATGCAACAGTGATAAATAATTATAGTTGGTGGTTATAATCCATACATATAATAAAATTGTAACTAAGTCGAATCTGTAGATTAAATATTTTTTTGGAAAATCTTATTGAAATAAACATTATTTTCAATAAAGAGGCCGAATCTATAGTTTTTAGAATTTTTGTCTGTCTGTCTGTCTGTCTGTCTGCCTGTCTGTCTGTCTGTCTGTAGAAAATCCACTGGAGGGATTTTGATGAAATTTGATATGATGTTAGCTGGTCAACATATAGGATACTTTTTACCGCGGGAAAATATTTCATATTTGAGAAAGAACACAAAAACTGCAATGTAAGAGTATACTAATATGTAAAACCTAATAATTTGGTTTTTGGTCATCTGAAAGCGGGCAGAGCCGCGGGCAATGCTAGTTATAACATAATAATCGGAATAATATTCAGTTTAATCTTTCCATACTAACCTATACTCACATAATAAAATCATAAATACAAAGTTATTACCTACATAGTTATTGTATAAATAACGAAACCTAACTCGATCACTAAATATTTATTATTTTCGTACTTATGTTTAGCAGCATATAACATTACGAAGGAAGTACGTATGCATTGGAGCGACGTCCATTACTGTGCTGGGCGTAAAACTAAGTGGTTTTTAATTTGTTATTAAGAAAAACGACTTTTCTTACATATCAAATATTAATATTTAACGATATCCAAATTTTAGTAAGTTAGTTAATTTAGGCGTAGCTTTTACACGAACTTATTTTTGCAAATAATAAAGTACTCGTAAGCGTAACGAAAAAGTAAATTTTTCCGTAATTTGTTCGCGAGGGAAGCCACGGGTTCTGCTTGTTAAAATATAAATTAGCCCGTAACGAAATAGAGTTAGGCAGTAAACGATTATTCATGTTCGTATTACGTAGTTTTGTAAACTGTTTTCGTATCCAATACATTTTCGTATTTTAAGCTTACTTACGTTTATTGAATAATCTATACATACTCTACATTAAGGCAGTGGTAGCCCAGTGGTAACGCGCTCGCTTGGGCAACCGAGTAAAGCGAGTTCAAATCTCGGGTCTCGCACCTCTGATGTTTTCATGTGCGAATCATTTTCAAAATTACCACTGTGTTAACGGTGAAGGAAAACATCGTGAGGAAACCTGCATGTCTGAGAGAACCTAGCAAGTTTTCAAAAGACATGTGAAGTCCGCCAACCCGAACTTGGTCAGCGTGGTGGACTATGGCCTGATTCCTCTCGTACTCTAGGGAGGCCCACCCACAGCAGTGGGACATTAAAAATGGCTGAATACATTCTATATTATAGGTATATAAAAGGCTTTGTCCTGACTGACTGGCTTATGGATCAACGCACAGCCTAAGCCTCTGGAAACGTGAAAATTGGAGGACGTACTTCTTATACGACGTAGACAATCGATAAGAAAGGATTTTTCGAAATTCATCCTCTAAGCGGTTAAAATGGTACGGAATGTATGGAGTCAAAATCATATTTATTCACAATCATACACATTTGAAAATAATTACAGCCATCAAATTATATATTACTGATAGCATAAAGCCAAAGAATTTGTTTTTTTGTAGTTTTACCGCGACCGAAGCTGCGGGTTCTTCTAGTTTACTATACATTGATTCCATTTGGAACGATTTTTTTATCATGAAAAACATGATGAATACGATTATGTATACAATTATCACCTATAGATAATAGTAAATAATAACAATTATCCATACTAATATATTATATTAATATTATTAGTACGAATATTATTTATAATTAGTTAGACATTTCGAAAGTTTGTTTGAATGCAACAAGGCAAATTATTCATTTTAATGTCACAACTTGATCTGAAGCTTACGAACAGCCACATTACAGCTACCTAGATACGACCGCAAAAGTTTGCTTCGGCGCTGCTACGAACTTCCGACTCTCTGTCTAACTTCATAGCCAATTAGTCAGTTAAGGTGAACTAATGGCAGGGATACTTTGTATTAGAAAAATTACTATAGTAAATTACACAGTTTTATTTCGGCTGTTTAATTTAAAGAGATCCTATATTATTTAAGTAAGCAAAAAAATACATTATAGAGAAGAAAGCTCTGATTGATTTTGAGCTTGCAATTTTGATTTTATTTAATATTCAAATAAATTACAAATTATTGGATTTTTACTTATAAAATAGCAAGCGAATATCATTGGATAATAATCACATTATACAAAAGAGTTGTTAAAACTTACAGTTGCAGTG